ATAATAGTAATTTGACCTTTTAATTATAATTAAATGAAGCGCTTATACCTGTTTTTAAAATGTAATATAAATGACTATAAATCCTACGTATAACGCTAAACTTTACTTGTTAAGTTGTAGTATATGTGGCTATTTAGTTATACGCAAAGTATAAAGCATTAAATTAGAATGTAAAAGGGTTTCAAATGTAATACAGAAGTAAGCCATTGCTTTGAAAACTACTTTATACACTTCAGAATATTCTAGTTTTTATAAATCACCAAGCGCTGAATACCGGAGAGGGGGAAGTTTTAAACTAAAGTCGGAAAAACTTTAACGGAGCTTACATAAGATTAAAGTCACAGTTTCCTTGATGAGAAATCATTTTGCCGACGAATGTAAAAGTATACAATTATGAAAGAGAAGAGAAAAAAAAAAATACCCGGCGAAAGGAGGAAATCTTAGGGCTTAGGTATCAACGAGCCTTTTTACTACTGAAAATTCGTCTGCAATAAACATTCGTTTCGCAGATAAAGGAAGGCGCCAGCTCATTTACGTCAACGCGGGCCGCGTAGCAGTTTACGGGGACCGATACCTTTAAGGTATTTACAAAGCGGCTAAGCTCGCAATCTAGCCGGGCGTAATAAAAAAAAATGCCGCGCCCAGCGTAATCCGCCGCAACGCCGTTTAAGAGCCCCCACAATTTAATGGTAAGTATCGCAATTCCCAGACGCCGAGCCCGTTTTCTGGAGAGGGTTGAAAAAATGATACACGGCGGCCGTGGGGCAGCGTACGGGCGAGGCAATCTCGGTTAGTTAGCGTGCCAGATGCTCCCGGCGCGCGATAACACTTAAGTTGTTTAACATTACGTTCCACAGCTTCTTAGTGCAACGCTCGTCTGGAAATTAGCGCGGCTCGGCAACAATCCATAAGCTCGGGGTCTCTTTAAATATTCATATCCGCTACGTACTCCCTGTTAGAGAGACTTTAATTACGTATACATACGTTGGTCAGCCAAGATAGCTCAACCTCTCGTTTTTAATTCAATATACCCGAGTAACCTGAGTTCCAAATCCGATATCAGCACCAATGAAATTGTTAATTTTAAGTGTTGACTTATCACGTGCTGAGCGGTGAAGGAATACGTCGCGAAAACCCTCGTCGGAAACCTGCATACTTTTGGAATAATAGTAGTAATAAATATATTTCGAAGATACATAATATATGAAGTCCACCAATCTGCAGTGGGATCGTGTGGAGGACTATGCTGTAATAGCCGTCCTCCCGCTGTTCGTCTGTCCCTATGTATGCTTAGATCTTTAAAACTACGCAACGGATCTTGATGCGGTTTTTTTCTAGATAGAGTGATTCAAGAGTAAGGTTTATACGTATAATACAATGCACCAGTGCGAATTTGAGGCGGGTCGCTAGTTCTATTATACATGTGTTGGTAATAAAATGACGTACGGATATTTTTACGGCACGTATCAAAAATACGTGCAGTTGAATTTTTGATTACGACCCGATACGATATTGTTTTCATTCGTCATAATACTTTCACTACCGTGCTACTCCAATCGTTTTCTGTTGAACAGCCAAATCCCCTGGCATGTGTGGTTGTTTTAATGTGAGCTTGTTTTATTTTATTTCACATGCTAGTGTTGAGCTAATGAAATTTATTCATCAAACTCCGTTACGTTTTAAGCAATTTATCGAACAGTGCCGGCTCGTTAAGAGGATGAGCGGTAAAGCTCCGCGTTTATATTACGTGCGTGTGCCTCATTTAATGTGAACAGGGCTTAAAGCCTAAGTGTATTGATTATTTTGGATTACTAACCGGTATTTAACGTAACTAATACGTCGCACACGATACACACGCCAACGTATTAAGCCATCTAAAATCATTAGATGAACCTCAAAAGCGATTCGTGATATTAATCAAAGTAAAAAAAAACAAGAGAAACAAAATACACTAACGAGCCGAATACAAGCGTGGCTGTTTATATATTTCGGATTAACCCAAAGCGTTGAGTTAAAAAGCAATACGCGTAATTAAGGAACATAATCCCTCGTTAAGCGGGAAACAACAACTCCGACCAAATAAGCAACAAATTTAGAATACGACGCCATAAACGTAGAAATCCGATTCGTAGTAATGACCGCAGCTGAATTAATTAGCGGGCACCTTACAAATAGGGGCAGGTGTGCATGGAGCTTTACTGCGCATTTACGATACTGAATGTAGAGATTGAACGATTGGCCGCGAGTGCTTCAAGCTGTTAATACCGACCTATATTTTACAGTTGCTGAAAAATTTCGACTACGTTAAAGAAATTTCGGCGTAAGCTTATAAATATAAAACCGAATACAAAAAAAAATGTGTGCGTGTACTAGCGTACACTCGTAAGAAGTGAAACTTTTTTATGACGTTATTTTTCAAAAAATAATTTACTATATGCAACTTTACAGAAATTGGTTAAATAAAGTTAAATTAGATAAAGTTTAATAAAAGGCTTTTATTATCATAGACATAAATACAAATTCTACAATTATTTCATTTTAGCTTTGTATAATATTTAGTTTCTTATTTGTAATACATAGGTGGCGTTAGTAGTAAATTAAAACACACTATGGTTTGACCGTTGTAATTAGTATGAGGGTCCGCAAAAATTGTTGATTAAAAAACTTGCAACTTGCGTCCTTCGTTGCCGAATAGTCAGCCAGTGAGTAGAAGGCAGACATTCGACTCGCGCGCGAGTGTTGTGAGTTAAGTTTTTTTGGAAAACCGAACTTGCGGACGTTGGATCGACGTCGCAACCGCAAGTTCCAGGAGACGATCTTTGAAGAGCATCATCTTTCAGCTTCAGATTGTGTCTTCGGTGGAAGGCGCAGTCAGGTCACGGTGGGCGGTGCCTGCCTTTGGAGAAGAGGAAGTCTCTACAGTGTCGTGCTCTGAAGTATTAGAGCTAGCACTGTCATTACTACAAATATTATTATTGAATTTCATTAATTGTAATAGAATTATTACTATCATTGATGTCGTTATTATATATTTGTGTTATTAATGGCTTATGGTAACTGAAATACGAAATGTATTGTTTTATATATTGTTATGAACACAAAAAGGAACTAACGCCATCTAGCGTCAACTATTAAAACCACAACAACAAGATGGCGCGTAACGCAAAAATGTTACACAAAATTTTTTTCCAACCCATAAAGAAGTTCCATAAAGAAGTTTCCAATAAAGAAGTTTCACTTCAATAAGCAGTCAAGGGCAACGCCAGCAGAATTTAAAACTTAAAATTCTAATAACTACGTTTTTTCGTTAAATTCTTTAATGAATTATATTATTATTACGAATAATTAAAATCACAATACACATAATTAAAATTTCAAAACACCTATTTTATTTGTGCATTTAATTTTTAATTTATAAATGCATGACAAAAAATATATTCATTTTTTTCATCAACTTATGAATTTTTCTCCATCCTAAAATTGCCCAATGGCCTATAAAATTTAAAAATATCAAAAAAGCGTTAGCGTAGCTAAAATTTCAAAATATCCAATACGCTGTTTTAGCTGAACATTTTTCATATCGAAGTAGTATTCATCTTGAATTTTCTTCACTATCATAACTGTGGTACAACAGCTGCGGTAGTCACAAAAATGGGCAGGTTCGCCACGGTAAGTACCACTACTATACTGTTCTGAAGACCGAGGTAAAGTAGAAGTGTTATATTGCTTCGTTATGTCTGGTGAGTGTGGTAGCCGACGCCAACTTTATTAAAAGGTGGTAACGCATCTGCAGCCCTACGCGTGTTGCAAATGTCCATGGGCGGTGGTTATCGTAACATCAGGCGAACCATCATCTCTCTTGCCACCTTCTCACATTAAAAAGATCCTTAGTGACACTCGTGAGCTTAAGACAATTGTTTTGACGTAAAAATCAGCAACATGGGCCCACGCGTTTGGTTTCTAGAGCGCCACAAAGAAACAAATATACTGGCGCACTACACAGGCTGATAAAAACATTACCCTTCTTACGTCACATTGTCAGGTAAATATATATAACAACCATCCATCGATCCTAAACCGGAAAATATCGTCTTTATTTTTCTCTCTAAGATATTGATTCCACTTAAATGTTTATCTAAGTACAATAGTGACATCGGCCAATAACATTACTAAACAAAAAATACCAAATTTTACGTTCATTTTCTATTATGTTATTGTTAAATAATTCAAAAATTATTAATGTACCAGATTATTACTTCGTAAGTAATACGTGAACCAGATCAATGTGAAATCGAATAATTGAAGATTGAACCGCTACGGTAATTTTAATAGAATCTAGCAAAACCGACGAGCGAGGACACGGCGATGCGATTTTTAAATTCTATTCGAGATTCTTTGTGCACCTCTGACGTATCAATTGTCCAATCTAATGGAAGACAGATAAACGCACCGATCCGCCGGCCGTTTCCCGATGAAAGAGAGCTGGAGATCCGTCGACGCGATTCGCGATCGGTCCAAAGTGAAAAATGTACATTTGGATGGCGTTAATTCGTTTAATTTCCGGTGCGAGCCGGCGGCGGGCGCGGGGGCCGCGGGAGGGACCGCCCAGATTAATTCAGCGCCGAGTCTGTCACAGATAAGGACTCCGAAATAAATTGAAAATGCCCCGAGATTGATTTGAATACTCCAGATGATATACAGCTAGTGGACGCGAGCTGATAAGCGTTATACTTGAAAAATTATGATATTACACTATGTAAGAGTACTAAGCTTGGGTTCGATTTTCGTATATACTTTTATATTCGAATAAAATTCTTGTTAAATATCCTCTGACAATCTGACTTTCACGGTGCCAACATCAGAATTGCCTGGATATCAAATATCAGGTATTTTTTAGAGGAATATGAAAATCTCATTAAGCCTTTTTGATTCACGCGGAACGAAGTGAACAGCCGACACTGAAGATTGCCTATTAAATCGTTTATAAAACGGTAGAATTAATGCAATTGGCGCGAGTGAGCCGAGATGGGACATCGTTCGGAGCGCTCGTGATCCGAATGTCAAATGAACTAGAGAAGCACCCTAAGCCTAACCCTTGGGCGGTGAGCTTAACCGCTCAGACTCTATTTACATATAACGGCGTTGTATCAAATCACAAGAGAATTTAATGTTAAATGATAGTGTTTCACGGATTTTAACGCATTTTATTTTGTTTTTAAATTCTGGACTTTTCGATAACTCGACATCTATGGCTACGGGACACTATATAGTCGTACATAAAAATTAAGAGATGTATAACATCATAGTGAATCGTCTGCTTTTAGATTATTTATTTTGATTTTGTTGTTAACGTTAATAGTTATCCATATAGTTTACTTTAAATTTATAAACTAAGAAGATAATGATCATATTTGTAGATGATGAAATCAATGAGGAATAAATATTATGTATACAATAAATTTTAAACCAATATGTATTCATAGAAAAAAATCACATTAATAAATATATTGCTAAAAAGTAGATGACAAAAGATTACGCCTTCTGAACAAAGTTTAACACCATAAAGATAAAAGGGAAGCGTAACAAAGGGCGCCTAGTTAGCGGCGCGTTGGAGTGGACTTCAAAGAATCAAAATTTCCAAATGCCCAGCGAATTGATTGGCGCGCAGAGGCGCTCGGCGGGTGGCAATCTCGACGTCCGATTGGTAATAGCGAACGCTAAACTTATTAGGCGAGCGGGAAATGGCATTAGCCAGCGTACTGTAGCATTCCGTCCGTGAAACTCGGGACGTCAAAGTTGACACGGCCGTACGTAAATGATTGTTGCGACCAATCAAACGCTCTGACTGATGCAACCATCGAGCGCTGAACGGCTTAATGAAACTGATGGACCGATTTTGCACTACTGAAAAACTCCGGCAGTGTTGGACGTCGACGACGGGCGGAATTTTAATTTGAAAAGATAACGCCGTCCGCGTCTAGTGGAAAGGCCGTTTTCGAAATGTTAAAACAATTTATCCCAGGTAATCCCGGAGTGTCAGACGATAATAAGAGTGACATTTGGAGCGCGCCGGGTAGCGGCGGTTAATTCTGCAGAGCGGCAGCGGCCGATTGTGACACGAACTAAACCCCACTGGCACTAGTAAAACCCATCAGGTGCGGCCCGTCCAAATCTAATATCGTGTGGACAAAATTAACACTCGGCAAACCGTCTGTGTCGAATAAATTATGTTTCCGCGAAATAATGCGCTTTAAATACATAATTTAAAATTTTTTAAAGACTAGTGTTTGTGGGAAGCAAACACATTTTTTAAACTAAACAGACGCCGTCAGTCCAGCGGCCATTAGCTAAGAATACAAACAGTGCTTTGCCATTAAAATAAATCGATCCATATCAAGGCAAAATGGACGCCATAATTCGTATACCGTCAACGTAGACCTTGATGAAGTTGCACAAAGAGACCATTTCATAAATAAGAACGCTAACGATACTTATCAGAGCGCAACCAGTGATACAGTAAATTCTAATAGTGCGCTTGATAAATATCTCCTCCTAGCGCTTATGATACCCTTACCACATTCCCTAGTCATAGTTTTTAAAACTTGGTTTCACATGTACGTTTATAATATTAATAAGAGGAAAACCTAAAGTCTATTGAAGACATTTTAAATAATCAATGAAGAATTATATGTGTATATGCAACGCGATAGAAAAGAAGAAACTAAAGCAAAAACATAAAAATATATAAATTGACTTAGGTAAGACAGACACTTAAAACATCGTTATAGATATGGCAGAATTTTTTTACAAAACTGTATGCACAAACGTGTTTTCGTAAGTACCATAACCCCATAGTAATAATAAAAGTGATAGTGGTAATAGAAACAAATTAAAATACACAAAGAACAAAGATTTCCGAACGTAAATATAATAGGTAAGGATAACTGGATTGTCCATTCGTTTTAATATTGTTCGAGAAGTCGCGCACCGAGCTGATGGTAGCGGTTTAAACAGGGGATCTTGGCCACACAATTCCCTGTGGAGATTACGGTTGAGAGAGAAAAGTAAGACGATTAATCCCACAGGGTTGGAGCCAGAGAATTTATTATAAAACGGTTTCATTCCACGCTTTAAAGTGCAACGGTGTATTCTGAATGTTATCGATGCGGTCGGCCGACAAAGATATTTATTATGTAGTCGCCTCGTTTATTACGCTTTATATATAAAATTGCGCTGTTTATTAGATTTATGAAGTTCCTATTTTTATATTTTGTTGTGTTGAAAGTCCCACGTTTTATTTCTGTTTACTAAAGCAAGTAGTTATTTACACCGATTTTCGCATTTGTAATAGAAGCTCGACTTATTTAACCATTTGTGAAACATGAAGATGAATTTTGTAAGGTACGGGTGTTTTCTAATTAAACATAAGATTGAAATCCCAACGATTCCACCTCTAGTGCTACAATATACAAAAGAAAATAACAAATAGATTTTACTCAAGGCTTAATTAAAACAAATGAATAGTTAGGTGGGAAGCAATCGATGTGATAGCAACACAAAACTTATTAAGACATCGCGTGCCAGAATGAATTAAGCAATACTTTTTAAGCAGCTATACGTAAAAGGTTATTTTCTACCATCGATCGTAATGGTTTCTTCGGCAAGTGTCGGTAACACAAAATGTCAAGTGCTCACCTGCGTAAATGTCAGCCAATAAAGCAACATAACCAAGGGAATTTGGTAGTAACATCACCTTTCTTACAAGTATTTCCAACAATAAATCACGTTAAATCTTACTACTTTTATAATATTTTTCTGGGATTGTTATTTTATAGTCAATATCAAAACAAGTGTATGAATTTCAAGATTGCAATGTTTCAGTTCAATCTAACGGTGCTGTAGGTACACGGTAAGTCTAATCGACTATTTTAGAAATTTGAAATTTACGGAAGTTAACACAATAGATTAACACCAACAAAAATGCTCTTTATACGGAGGGACTCAATCCGAGCGCAAATTCATTTTCTGTAGCGTCGGCATGACATTCTAATTTAATCCTATATGTCACTGTCAAATTAGAGACACTAAACCATAGGCATATCAGCCACAGCGACATTTCTAAACATGAGGGGAACAAATGGATCCGCCATTTAGTAAGTATTTAAACGACCTTGGTTCTAATGTTGAGTAAGCGAAAGGGTTGCGTCTTCAATTACATAAAGCCGTAGTGTGTTTTGTCAGAAATACAAGTTGTTTTAAAGTCTTTTTTGTTTAAAATATTATGAAGATCGATAATATACGGTACTTTGATTCCAATCAAAATAAATTCCGATTACTATAGAGACTTTGATAACTCCGTGGCGCAGTTGCCAAGGTATTGGCTTCCAAGTCCGGGGTCGTGGGTTCGATTCCCACACGAGACAACTATTTGTGTGACCCACAGATAGTTATTTAGCATCTGTGTATTTGTCCGTGTGAAATTTATGTTTGTGAAACGTTCTTACAACACAGGATAAAGTAACCCTAAAGTAAGGACAATGTTTTTTTTTAAAAAAAAAAGAAAGAAAAGACTTCTGATAATTATGTACATACATACTATGAAGAAATGATATTTGACAATTTTAGTTACAATCACAGTTTTGTTTTGAAATGTGCTAAAATTTTGACAAGCCTTTGAATAATGTTTTGCCAATGAACAATAACTGTACCAAGGTGGCGAAGATTTGTTACTAAACAAAAAAGATCGATGAGGAACGTTTAACGAGAAAGGCGCGTAATTAGTAGATTTCTAGGCAAAATTATGAAATATAGGACTTTATCAGCTGTTAAACAGTTATGTTATTGCTGGATGAGCACAGCATAGACTATTTGCATAATTGAACGGCCATTTGGAGGCACCATCATTGTTATATTTTGCCGTGCCATTTGTCAGATTCGTTGTATCATTTATGCATGTTGCTCATAACGAGAGCCGCGCCGTTTTTCTGGACTATTCATTATTCCGCCCTTTGTGTTGAACGTAATACGCGAGCGCGCACTTCAAGAACGGCGAATGTGGAAATATGTAACAACGCCCAGTCGGCCCCTATTGACACAAACAACCGCATTCCCGTCATATAAAGTTGAAATGGCTTAATCTGGAATTTGGTCAGGTAAAATAAACATTTGCTTTTTGCAGCGCCCGAACAAGTCGGAAAAGGCCCGGGCCGTGATGGCTTTTGTCGGTTAATGTGGAACGGCGGAACTGAAGATTGCTTTGAATTGTGCCGGGCTTTGAAATTGTGATGAAAAATGTGATACAAAAATGTTTATTTTTTTTTTTATTTTCACGATGTGAACGTTTGATGTCTACGCAAATAGTAATTACCAGTAATAATTCACCGTACCTTGGGCCCTGATTTCAATCATTTTGATACGTTCACGCGAAAAAAGGTTTTGCGAACCCCTACGGATGAATCCGAGCGTGAGATGGCTGGAACAAAAGCTGTACCGCAGGGTTCAGCTTGCTAGACTACTCGAAGAGCCATAATCGTGAATGTTTGTTGTGAAACGAGGTAAGTAGAGGCAATGCTCCCGATCCGATCAGGAAACAATAAAAGTGCCGTAAAATTGTGTAGTGGTGCACAAAAAGCAGGCGTTATCTCGAACGCGTAAATGTTTAATGGCAGAAGCCACTTGGAGAGTTCGTGCGCACCTCGCGATCCGATTTTAAACTGATGACTTTTAGAAGCTGTTACGGAAATAGCTACTTAAGGTCATGAACTGCTGAGCACTTAAAAGAAACGCTATTAAGAAGAATCTCAGTGTTGGTGAGGCCAAAAATAGGGAAGATCGTGTAACGCTTTCGTAGGTCAATCTGATTACGAACAGAAAATAACAAGCGAAACATCTTGTTCTATATTTATCAGAAGAAAGCGGAATTAATCGAAATCTTTTGCGAACATTAATACTACCCGAGGCTATTGTTGGTTGAAATTGTTAAACTCGTTCTATAACGGAAAATATTCATTTTTAATCTTCGAAGTTAGAGGTATATTAATTTCACGAAACAACTAATACTAATGTACTATAGTTTTTACTCTACGATTGAGTAGCAAAAGTAATATGCTATCTCTTAAGTTATTAAAGTCATTATCACTGTGACAGTTCTATTTTGTTTTATACATAGGGAATAAGAAGTAAATTTGTATCAGAAGGCGATGGTTTGCATTTTAAATGCACAAATATTTGTGCCAACGAATCGATGGTAAGTGTTAGCAGTGATTGACGTTTTTAATTTGCCGCTTTGCCGCAGAACAAGGTGCCGTGACCCTTCGGGGGAGTCTCTGAGGCGCCTGGGCCTGTCATTCCGAGACAGGCAACGGTCAGATCCTCGGGGCACGACTCCACACGATAGTTTGACGTTGAACACTTCGGGAAAACGCCACCAAGCGATGCCCGGGGCGACGAACATCAATCAAACGTCTCCGCGCATTGTGTAAACTTTTTAATGATGGCAACACAATCGCCAGCAAGGCGTCAGCATTATTGGACACAAAGGCGGGAACGCTCAAAATTAAAGTTGCCATCAAACAACGAAGCCATAGCAGTAACGTCAAACCGCGTCGCATAACGGGTTTAATTTTACAAAACCATTTACGCGAGCGTGCGAGCAACTTCTCTTTCTGCTGCCAATAAATCCACTTAGAGCAGTGGATCGTCGAAACTGGCTTATTTCACACTCGCGGATAATAATATAACCAAATTATAATTAGCCATGTAAATCTGCTGCGATTTAAAGCAATAACCCACTTGTGAATATCCGCGGAGTGTCTACAAAATTGCCTTTATATTGGCTATGGCTGCGACTTTGTCGAAGTTAGAATGAAAGCGTGTATGTAAATGACACAAGCAATTACAGTTTGGGTTTAATTTAAGTACAGATTCCTATTTAATTGATATATTATGATGGGTGCTTTGTTTTTGTTTCCGTTACTCAATTATGATATCCTAGCTATTCAAATGAACATACGTTTACAAATACAAATTAACCAACCATTGGGTATTAGACCTATTAGTACTGGACCCTAGTAGTATTGGACCTATTAGACATTTTACACATTCTAAATATGATTGATTATAAAAAACTTATATTAAAAAATATGAACTCTAAATATCAAAAACAATTCGTAGTATAATGTTAATCAGAAAAAGTAAATGTTTGGTAGAAGACTTGTTTTACTCGCTTTTTTATTCTGAACTGTGTATAGTTTTCCTGTTGGAACTCCGCTATAACATTTTCGGGGGCTGAAATTCAATTTAAATCAACGCTAAGCCCTAATACGCAACTGCGCTGAGGAAAAGCTATGTGTTTTTTATGCAAATTTCATTTACCCGACCGATACAGCAAACGACTGAGTAAATACAGGCGACTATTAATCGTGAAAGAAATAAATGTAGCAACGCGATGGCATTAAAACAACAACGTTTTATTACCCATAGTTAAATTCAATAGCATATCATACGTTGATTAATTCGTTTAACAAACTAAAATAATTGAATTTTTCCATTTAAAGGACCCGGCTCATTCGTGGCCAGCATTGGGTGGAAATGCTTAATTAAAATTGTTTTATGAAAACCGTGCGTCGAAATTGGAAGATTAATATTCCGCGGTCACCGGATCAATGTTATTATTGGGTAATAATAATGCTCAAATAAAAATACTAATTGTTCACAGTTGAACTGTTATTAGCGCTTCTGTAAATAGTGTATATTTAGCACAGGTTTTTATTAATGCAGTCAAATTTCGAGAGTGTAAGCGTGGGTCACGATAATTACGAGTTTCCCGCACCTGTTGCCTCCGAAGACTCTGACTAAAATTTAGGAGCATACGTGTTGTAAGCATCTGTGCGCCATATGTGTATAATTTTCAAGCGGTTACCCAATATTACGTAATTACGCCCAAAAAGTGTTCCCGCCCGTGTTATGTATATTTTAGCATGCCCGGGATTTAGAACGTATAGCATAAATCCTATCGACATTAAAACTCTTCGGAATAATACAGATCATAAATAATTATCACATATATTTTTCCTTGCAGGAATTCGGCCTTTTTCGTAATTAAATTTATCTAAACAACAGGCATTAATTCTACTACGGATATTACTACAGCCTTAATCATTGAAGGATGGCTTGCAAAAGTTTTATATATGATTTCAGCACGTTTCAAATTACGCGTGTAGGGCGTAATTTTGGAGATATGGCCGAACTATACAGTTTTACAGTGTTTTGCTCGTGAAACGGCGTTGTTGGAGCAGTAGACTGCAAAACTTTCAATGAATTGCAACACTGGAGCGAACTAAACAAAGGCTACAATAGATTTCGAACCCAGTGTTTTCATGGGCGTCTCCTTAACGCCCGTTTTATATCACTTGGGCGGAATACAGCGGTGATTCCAATGCGAGATGAATATAACGCCAAATCTTTAGTAGAAGCTGACAATGCGGGGATTTCTTAACAGAGCCCCAGGCTAGGTGAGGGTAGGCGCGAGTGGAGTTTGTTACATAAAAATCGCGTTATCGCGACGGAGGTCGACAGATTACTTTCTTGTTAAGAGGATAAGAACAAGAGCCAGTTCGTTTTTGGGGGGGGGGGGGGGGGGGGGGGGGGGGGGCAGAATTAAATAACTTCAAACATTTTTTCCCTCTCTATTTCCTTTAAGGGCGCTGCAAGAAATGTTGAAAAGGTTTTCCGATTGTGTTTAAAATTTTCGGACACTTCGCGAATTCATTTATTAAAGAATTTATTTACGCAGGAAAAATGAGGCTGTATAAAGAAATTGAAAAAAAACTTCTAATTCGACAACGAAAACAACGCGCCCGCTCAGCTTTTGTTCGCGTTAAAATAGCACTATAGCTACTGTACGTATAGAGGTTTTACATAGCCATAGAAACAAAGATATAGTATACAAGCTTGCGCTTCGTAAATGTCCAACTGTGTTTTCCTGACCAATGAGAGTTTACCTAACAATTCACTTTACGTTTGGCATTGTGCGAAAGTAATCAGTCGATTTGTACCCTTCAGTTCTGGAATGATCTCCCGGCTGCGGCAGCAAACACGCAATTTGTCCCCGGCGTTAAATCGACCACAAACAAAACGCCCGCCGCATACGCGCCGCGCCATCATTCACCTGTGGTCGCCCATGATAATGAGATGGACCCACTGTTCAACATATTAGACTGATTGCAATCGTGTCCCGGCCTGTAGGTAGGCGAAATCGCATCACACGACTAAAGCGCAACGTCCTATCCGATTTAACGGACGGTTTCTGGTGAAAGTTTCGTTCTTATTTCAAAAAGGCCAGTTGCTTGTGTTCGTGTTCGTTTGTGAAAATTTAGTGAAACTTTGGTGTTTTGAACACTCGTTATAAAAATTTCTCAGTTAGCTATTGGATAGACAGACGTTAGCACTTTTCAAACGCAATAATCAAATGGGTATTAAACCCCATTTTATTACAGGCTTACAATTTAGACCCTATTTCACATTCTATCGTTCTAATTGAATCAAACAAAAATAGCAAATTAATTTTTCCAGTAGGAACACTGTCGTTGACTACAATTGTAAGTTTTGAAATGCTGACTGCGCACTTAAAATTCTGCCGTGTCTGGTAAGGCTAAAAGTTTGTAGATAGGGTTTTTTTTTATTTCGTGCATAAGTATTGAAAAAGGCAAATGGCTAGACCCACTTTATAAAGCTTACTCACTGTCGTCCACAGACAACCGCAATATCAGCAGGGGTTCCAATACGATTTATTTCATTCTTCTTTATGAGTCCTTCGTAACATGAACTGAAAAACGCCAGTACAATATTTTGTCATCCAAAGCGCTTCTTTATAAGTATTTTTAATGTTGCTTGACGAATAGGACTTGTAATAAAATATAAAAGTATAGTAAAAAGAGTAGATTAAAAAAAAAAACGAAAATCTAACCAAAGAAACAATTATTTGCTAACACTTAGATAAAATAACGCTTGACAGCATTCGCTTTGGTTACAAAACATTACATAGAAACAAGTCTATAGAAATCTTTCAATAGTGTAATTAAAATTCAAAACGTGCCGGAGACCCCGCGTCATAATGGACTAAGTGATTCAAATTCACCAATAGATTATGGGAAAATCCAATAAAGATAATAATGTCCTTACCCTGCATAATGGCACCGCACGAGACTGTAAATTTTTAAAGCCATAAAATATTACCAATTGCTCCAAGTGGCTTGAGATTTTTTTCCATTATTTTATTATGAAAAAGTTGTGGGCTTCTTAAGAAGTACCAATTGGCATCATTCGAAACAACTTTGGCGATATCCTGCAGAGGGATGTCATAAAGAGATTTTCACGAAACCGACTTTGTACTAAATTAACGGGATAACGCTCTTAGGCGCTAAGTTTTACCCGGTGTAATTAACTTCGCCTTAGTAATTAAGATGGTTAATAAATGGGTGCGTCGTAAGTTGCTTTAAGATAATTATGTCAGGAATCCTTTAATATATCCGAAACAAACGCTAATGTAGGTACATGCAGCACATGGTTATACGTTGGAAATGAAAAATTTAATTTTTATTCACATCTACAGATGTTATTACAGAAGATTTACTCATATAGTGATTATAATTATGACTCAAAGGTGTTTTTGTCGGACCAATGTCGTTTGATATGTAATATGTGATAACATTCAAAATTCTTCATCAAATTTAATAATTCAAACACCGTTTTGAATAGTAAATGTTTACTTAAAAAAAAAATCATTTAAGGATTTCTTTTAAAGAATGTATGATAACGACATCTATTGACAATTTGTCTAAGTGAAAGACACTATCTTTAGTGTAGATGTTATTCTTCAAAATAAGATACCTAATAAATTGATAAACATTCGGTGACTATGGGAAAATTTCTCATGAGACAGCTATTAGTACATATTGGCCATGTTCTATATAACCAGATAATTAATAAATTTCAAAGAAGAATTAACAAATATATAAAATATGATAAAATGTAACACAAAGCAAGTTACATTACATTTTTGTTATCTACTAATTCTAAATTTTGTCAATTGCGCAACGTCATGAAAGTCTTCGCAAGTTTTGAACTTGTTTAATCTATTAAGTCTATGAAGAAAATTATATAAACGAATTGTCTTCTGAAACGAGTGGAGAATACAAAAAGAAAGAGCGATTTGTTATTGTTTCATTTCAATTAAGATACAACGTTAATGTCGCATGTTCGTTTGCTGAAACAAATGTTTCACGACGGTGGCGCGTTTAGCGAATACCACATTATCTAATAACGCAACCATGTCAGATTCGTGAGGAGATTTAGTTTGTGTTTGTCTTCGTTGTTTTAGTTGGCGATTCGTATTCACGCAGGCGCTTTGGCGATACGTTCACCTTTGCACTCACTAGATTAAGATCCGAAGATGTATAGGTAATTAGGCTAATTATGC